TTACGGTAAGTGACTTACTTTGTTTTTGTGAAATTCTAGGGGAGCTTACACATTGTATCACATGTTTTCTGTACATTTGGTATTTTGACATACTCTTTTGATCAGTTTTTAAAATATCCCAAACTCCATCTTTCTGTAGGCAGATACTTGTATTTTCTCCAATTTAAGGTTTAGATTTCACACATTAGTGTCCAGTGGAAAGCTGGTTTCTCTTCCTTCAGTCACACAGCACCTGTAATTAGGGCTTGAACTAGAAAGAGGGAAAAAAAGCATTCCATGGCTTCTCTGGAAGGCTGAAATTTCTTCCTACTACTTGTGAGAGGTTGTGTGTGTCATAGTGGATGGAGTCCCTCCTCTAACACATAACTGGCCGTGTGACCCAGGGTAAGTCACTCAATCTCCCAGTATTCTGAGCAACTTTTGAAGATTTTAGGTTGCAGACAAAGTGCCAAGAGCTCTTGTAGAAGGAGTTGGTTCCAGATGCTAATGAAATCACAGGTCTAGTTCCCCTCCCTACTTATGAAATGTTGAAAATGTCCATAGGGTCCTCAGTTCCCCTTCTGAGGATGGAAGGATAATTGGGGAGTACAGGGTGGGCGGGGGGAAGTACTTTTTCCTAGTCCTCATTTGCTGTTGTCTCAAGGCCTGGATGTAGTATAATTAATTAATTAATTAATGTGAGTACGGTAACTAAATATTTCATAGCCTATTCCTACATTTCACAAAAATACAATCAGATTTGCAATTCAAATAATGCAGTATAGGAAACAGAATCCATTTTTTTTTCTGCTGAGCCAATTTTAGGGAATATTATCAGGTTCCTGGCCACCCTAAATGAACTTGTTTTCCAAAGGGCTATTTTCTTTCTGTGTGCCAATTTTCCTATTATTTTTTGTTGTTGTTGTTGTTGTTTGGTTGGTTGGTTTTTAAAACCACTGGTGGCCTAAAATAAATTGGAAACAATTGTTTTAGTTACTTCGGCATTAAAATAAGCTTTAATGGCCTTTTTTTTTTTAAAGCATCAATGTTGCTAATCCCTTTTCCTTCACCCCAATTAAGCTCCCTCCTTAAAAAAAAGGGGTGGGGTGTGTGTGTGTGTGTGTGTGTGTGTTTGTGTGAAAAACCTTGTAACAAGTAAGTATAGTGATGCAAAATGAATACAGAGAGGCATGTTCAAAAATAGTTTTCTCTTTTTTGCACCTTGAGTCAGTGTGTTCTCTTTCAGTGGGAACATACTTCATCCTCGATCCTCCCGAGCCTCAGTTAGTCATTGCATTGATCGGAGCTTTTAAATCTTTAAGAGCTGTTTTTTCACTGCTGTTGCTCCTATATAGCTTGTCCTGGTTCTGTTCATTTTACTACATATCAGTTCATACTATGCAGGATTCTCTGAAATCACTTTTTGTGGCATAGTAATATTTCATTATATTTACATACTACAAGTTGTTCAGCTCTTTCCCAATTGGTGGGCATCCCTTAAAGTTTGAGTTCTTTGCTTTTTTTTGGGGTTTTTTTTTTTGGCCTTTTCATAATTGCTTAATTTTTGTCCTTCCCCCAAGGGAAACAAGAGGTAAAGTTAAATCAGAATTTTGTTTGGAATTTGTAGAACAGCTTAAGAGACACTCTTTTTAAAAATCCATTTATCCTTTTATACTATAATAAATCAGTCTTACTGTAGAAGCAATGCCTTGCTTCATTTAAAAAACACATTTATTAAAGTGTATTGAACAACTACAATGACAACTTTTTTTAATCTTAAAAAAAATAAATTGTGATTTTTTCAGAAACAAAAAAAAAACAAACCAACAGGAGAACCCCTTCCTTCCTCAGTGGAAACTTCTTGAAATAAGTGCACTTAATACAGTCATATTCTAGCTCTTACACCCAGTGGAAAATGACTTTCATAGCAGAGAAGATAAACAGTTGCAGGGCGAGCAGAACTAGCCTACTATATAAGCCATGAGATGAGATTTCAGTTGAACTTCAGATATTTTTCACAGATTCTTATCATAAGTACTCCCTTAGCCTTTAAACATATGCATTTTTAAGGTTTTAAAACTCCACAGTAACTTAACTTTATGGAGACTCTTTGACAACTCATTCTCTGCTAGAAATATAATGTAAAGAAATTATGATTTGGGATTAAAATTTCAAATAGTATCTTTATTACTTTTTTTGAAGAAAAATCAATGAATCATGATTTTGCAGATCAACCCCAGAAAAACAATCCAAAAATTCATAAAAATTCATACTTTCAAGTTAAGAATAACTTCTTCTCAAGCTGCTCTACAATACTAGTCATCTAAAAAGGATGGTTAGAAAGACACAGAATGTGAATCATGTTTGGAAGAAGTCCCCTTTGATGAGATTTCTCAGCAATGGATGCTACCACAAAATTGCAGAGAAGTTCATTTTGTCCATGGAGAAGCAGCTTGGAGTAATAAAGGGACAGGTGACCTGAGAGGCAGGGAGACTCTGGGGTGAGGTTAAACCTCTGACATGTCCTGGCTATGGGACCCTGTGAAGTCACTTACCCTGTCAGTGTTCCAGGCAACCATCTAAAACTGAATTGCAAAGAAAATGCTGACTTGCATCAGTAAAAGGACTTTCTTCCTATCAGTGAAATCACAAGGTTCTTGTCCTTTTCCTTATCTTAGTCCAGAGAACAGAATGTCACATACACACCAACCACATTCTTTATTATTATAGTCATTTCCAAGTACCCACTCCTAAGCAAGCAATCAGCATTTTCAGAAGGGACTTCTGTTTCTTGTTTTGAAATCCTGTGTAGGCTCTAGCTGGCAGCAAAAAAAATGTTTTTAAAATTCTTTTTTAGAACCCTTAGATGAGAATTTGATATACCTTTTTATTTTCATTAAAATCAATTAATAAGTATTTACTAAGTGCCTACTATGTGTCAGGCACTGTGCTAAGCATTAGAGAGTACAGAAAAAGGCAAAAGAGAGCCCCTGTCCTCAAGCAGCCCACAATCTAACTGGGGACGCAATGAGCAACAAATATATGCATATACATATAGGATATATAGGATAAATAAGAAATAATTAAAAGAGTGAAGGCAATGGAATTAAGAGGGATTGAGAAGGCTTCCTGTAAAAGGTAGGATTTTAGTTGAGACTTAAAAGAAGCCAGGGAGATAGGGAGGTCAATAGTCAGAACAGAGGAGGGATAGCATTCCAGGCATGAGAGAGAGCCATAAAATTTTATTGTTATATTATGTTTGTGGATCAGTTTGCATTGTCCAATGTATCTGTCCCCTTTCCTGGAACCAGAGAGTCTTCCCTTACAAAAAAAGCATTAAAAAAGAGGGCATAAAAACTGTTGAGCAAAACTAACTTATCAAAAAAACCCCCCAAAAACAGATAATGTTCCACACCCATAATACCCCATTTCTGCAAAGAAGGGAGTTGGGGGTGTTGGCTTTCTCAGAGCTTTTTTTCTTTTGTGTCAAGCTCCTAAAGGTTATCATTTCAGTATGGATATGTATATGTGTATGTGTGTGTGTGTGTATGTGTATGCATGTGTGTATGTGTGTATATATATATATATGTATATGTGTGTGTGTGTGTGTGTATAAAGGTAATACATAAGCAGTGTACAGATGTATACAACTGTCGCCAAAATGGGAGTGTGGATGATGAGGATAACTCTTCGCCTGTTACATGTTTAACAGTGAAGGCATTTTATGCACTTCCCCACAGGCAGAATTTAATTCATTCTGTCTTACAGTACTTAGATCTATCTTCATATTTGAGGGGGGAAAACCTAATAGCTTATAATTTTGCTTTATGATGATGGAATTGAGCTGGTTTATGAGTATGTAAAGCCAATGGCAAATAATACAGAAAATGACAAATGGAAATAGCTCTATCTAAAATTCTATTCAAGTGTTTTGGTTTATGATGTAGAATTCTAAGATGCTTTTTAAAATGCAGGAATAAATACTTCAATGACCAACCAGTCACTGGAAATATACAGGGTTTTCTGATTGTAAGAACCTTTCCCCCCCACCCCCATACATACACACAGAATATCCTCAGGGATATTTTCTTAAATGTTCTTTCAGGACTCCAATTTTCCAGGCAATTGAGGTAAATTGTATTGTGATCAATGGAAGTATCTTGAAAGGGTCAGAAGAGAGAAATGTATTGTTAGTAAGACTCCAGTTTATTGTATTTCACACAATAAACTCTGCATTTTCTGCAGATGGATGGATTATCCATTTTGTAGATGATCTAGATTGGCTTAGGACCAACTTGCTCTTGTCTGTTCTTCACACAGGCTGAGTCCTGTACTCCAAATTGTTGGGATTGAGTGTAGAATAGATTAGAGCCGTCTACTGAGGGAATATGACATTATTGGCAGAGTATGTGTGCTTATTTTTTACATGTATATGTGATTGTATGTTTCTGATTGCATTACATATATACGTATTTTGGGGATTTTTCATTGTTCACTGTTTTTCTTTTAATACTACTATGTGTTAACATGTACAAAGAGGTCTATAAAATAAGCCTATTAAAAGAAAAAAAATCCCTCTTGTCTGAAGTGAGCTGTTTCTTCTGATCACACAGACTCAATATACACAGAGCGCTACATGGGACTTCCAACCCCAGAAGATAATCTTGACCGCTACAAGGTAAGAAACAACAAATCGCGTTGATTTCAAATTCCAATAAAGTATTCAAGAATGTCTCACAGTACATATTTAGAAATTTTTTTTCCTTCCCAGAAAAAAAAAAAGACAAAACTCTTTTTATGTAGACACCACACAGGTGGTTCAAAAACACACTTGGGGTTTTCCCAAGTATAGACTGTACAAGGATTCTTTATCTTATGCTTAAACCCAACATCGCATACCTCCCATTCTGTTCTATGAGAATTTCCTTTAGTGTCAGCTTTTGAAACAGCATTTCTAGTCAGAGTCAAATACATTTCAGTCTATGTCAGGAACCTATATAAATAGGTGTTTTCCTGTTTTGATTTTTGAATTCAATAATGATACTTTCTTAGATCTGTGTGAAATTATATAAAGTTAATTTTGCACGCAGCAAGCAGGAAGTTAAAAATTTAAAGTTGTTCTTCTAAAAGAATATATATTAATAATAGAAGGGGAGTAACAATACATAAATACTGGGATACTCATTTGGGGCCTTCAGATGCTTTGAAAACATGTATAGTACGTAGACAATATTTTCTTGTATTATATGGTAAAATGTGTAAATTTTAATTTTGAAAATAATACTGAGTTCAGTTTCTTCAAGGGCTAGAAAGCTCTTTAAGCCTTTGGCATTTTGTAGAACCTCCCATGAATTTATCATCCTTATTAAGCCGGCAACTAAATTGAGGCAGTAACTTTTTTACTTGTGGCCAAACATATACTATTTTGTGCCAGAGAACCTGGCTTCCAATCCAGCCTCTGTTGCTTACTGCCTTTTTGACTTGGGGCACATCGTTTCATCTCTGGAGGTTTCCAGTTGTCCCATGTAACTGTAAAATGAGGGTGTTAGAGTAGTTGGCCTCAGAGGTCCTTCCAGCTCTAAATTCTACTTTACTCTAAATTCTACAGTGATTACATCTACAGAGAAGCTATACAGCAGTGTTTTCATTTTCTTGCATAATTTGACTAGGAGAGACTGAGATGGGCAGTGCCTATGAAAATGTATTAAACAGCCCCTGAACTGAACATGCTGAGCTTCGTGGCATCAGACAGGCTGGCAGCCTGATGGTAGAGAACCAACTGGCAGGTTGTTTCGCAGATGGACTGCGGAGTCAAAGTATGGTTGGGAGTATGGAGTTCAAAGTATCTACCATCAGTAGGTCCATCCTAGTGTAGACACCAATCCAAAGCAGCAGGATTCCCTTTTGGTTGATAATAATTGATTTGAAATGCACATGTGGATATAGATCAAACTATTTGGAAAGTGAGAACTGCAAACGTTAGTGTCTTTGAGACACATCCCTCCCTTTCCTCTTTCTATTAGTAAACTCTGAATCTGCATGACAAAGTAAGTCATCTTTGAATTGATCATATCCAGAAGGAGAATCAAACCTCTTCTGAGGAGCAAGAACAAACCATGGCAAGATTAATTTGCTGTTGCTATTTTGCCTTTCAAACATAATAAGAAACCTTATGCATGAACTTCAAAAGATAGGTTGCGTTTGTGTGATTAACACGTGGACTTTGAGCAGTATTTGTTATCTTGTGTAAACATCTTCATTATTGCTATGACCTTGGGAACCATGTGATCAAAGTACAGGCTAAAAAATAAAAGAAAACCATTCGACTTTGTGAGGTAAGTGATTAATCTTATTTCTGTTTATTTGCATTTGCTTGTGATGCCAAGGCTTGTTTTGCGATCTTTGCTTTTCGATCAAGACATGGCACTGTGGTCCAGAGCAGTGAGTACTGGCTTTGGAGCCAGCAGATTTGAGTTGGAATCTTGGCCTTCTTATTTACTACTTAAGTCACTTTGGGCAAGTCACTTAACTTTTCCTTATCTCAGTATGGGCTTGGACTTGTTGGCCTCTAAGGACTCTTCCAGGTAATCTATGTGGCTATAATGTTATAAGTCATGAAATGACTAATTTATAAAAGGGCAATGAGTGTATTAAAAAAATAGCTGATTCTCCCCTTTTGAAACTAGAATTACCTTGCTCATGTTCTGTCCTTGTCTAAAAAACTCAGTTTGAAAAACATCCATCTTGGAAGTTACTATTGATGCTTTTGCAAGTTATCAGATTACAGTTTAAGTCCAGTAACAGGAAATTATTGAATATGTAAAAATTACGCAAATTTTAGATAAATATAAATTCTGTTTGGCCACAGAATTACCAGTGTCTACAGTAGATATATAGATACAGTAGATATTTAGAACATGTGGTCATATGCTCCTTGGTATGCATCCTTTAACTTATATACTTATATCTGCAGGGAGTCCTGAAGGGCTAGCTAGCTCTCTTGGGTGCTTGTGTTCTGCATGCTGGCTGATAGGACACTTTTGTCACCCAGGATTCTGCTGCCTTGGTGGCTAGTTTTCCAACAATCCTTTTTTTTTTTTTTTTTTGTCTCTCTCTTTTTTCATGTCTTTCCTATAGGCTCTACTTGGGCAGTGACACTTTTCATCTTTCTCCCTTAAACCCCCACTTTCCACCCCCTGAGTTAGCTGCGTTAGGTAGCAATGTAAATAGGAGTCACTCTCATGCTGCCAATGGTAACATGAGCACACGGGGTGCACAAAGTCATTCTCTCACTTCACTGCGCAGATGGCACCAGAGGACTGTTTAATCCTTTCACGCCAGGAGTCGGATTTTCTTGGCACAACATCCATTGCTGGCAACGGACACATTAAAACTGCCAGTACCGGGGAGCTAAAGGTTCCCAATGTGTTACTCAGAAGATTTATTTGGGAGGATAGGAGGGTGGTAGTTAGGTGGGCAGGGGAGAGTAATGCAGATATATTGATTGAATTATTGTTTCCACAGTGGTAAATAGCTTCCTCTGTGTGTGGAAAAATTGAACCTAGATACCTATTTCTGGTGCACTGCAGGCATCAGAATAAAGTTGCCCCTCTTTGTTTTTAAAAATGAATCTGCTTTTATCTCTGGCAGGGATATATTGGGGAGCTACTTCTTCCAATGTCCCCAGCTGCCCCTTTGGACCCTTTTAGCTCTGCACATTCCTCTTTTCTACTTTTTTTTCCTCTGTGGCCTTTTCTCTGTCTGAATTCTCTCTTCTCCCTATCTCTTCTTTACCTTTCCTTATTTCCTCTTATGTCTCCTTTTTGGAAATAAAAAAAAAATAGGGAGGGAATTTTTTTGGAGTCTCTCACTAACCTTGTATCTGAGTGGGCCATGGGAAGATGCCTTGAAAACAACACACTTCCCCATTCTTTGGCTGTATCAACTCAAATCTGTCAGTCAAATTTTATTGAGCACTCACAGGGTATGTAGTCTTGGATGGTATAAAGTTGAGCAACCTCTAGTGAATTTGCGCTTATCCAGAAAATTCTACATTGTTGCTTTTACTCTGGAGGTTCCCCACATATGATGGATGGCCACTGCATCTAGATGGATATAGCCAAGAAGGGACGAATGTTATATTTAGCTAGACACGATGAGTCGATGAAAAACAGTCTCCATAAGGTCATTCATAATCGAAATCTGGAAGCCTTTGGAGGAAGCCCAAATTACCAGGAAAACTAAATATTTTGAAATAAGAGTTCCACTTAACATTTCAGAATGGGAACTGGAAGGACATTAAACATTCTCCCTATCAGTTATTTAAATGGAACCAAGTTACATATGGTGAGAGGTAAAAATAAGGAAAGGCAAACAACAGTTCTTTGAGTGACTTTGATGGTACTCACATGCTCGATATCAAGTAGTATGATAGAGTCACTATCAGTGGACACCTGGGACTAAGCTTAGTATGTATGAACAGACATACCAGTGCCTTTCTCCAGGGTGCTGACCACATGTTGCTAATGACTGACATCAGAAAAGATGAATGGCTTTTATTGAGTAACTGTGGTGGAGTGACTACACTCGGGACAGACATGCAGTATGGACATATGGAAATACCATTTGAAGTGATATGTTATCTCTATGGAATCCTGGGCAGCAGCAATGGAATAGAACAGACATACAACACTCAGCAATGGTTTGCTAAGCAAAGCAATCATTCAGCCAGTGAAATAATCATAAGAATGTCAGGCCCTGAAAACAGCAAATATAGCTTTAAACTAAAGGGGATTCTTCTCTTGGATCCAGTGTTGAAAGGTCTGGTGATTGTTCATTGATCTGTTTTCCCCATACCTGTGCACGTAAAAAGCAACACCATCTTTGGTGCTGTCATCAAACATAATATATTGACGTGAGATAGACATTCATCCATTCATTCAAATATTTACTTGAATGCCTAAGTTGGGGGGGGGGAATAAAAAGTATATGGCATGATCTCTACCTACAAGTTACTTATAGTCTTGTTGAAGAGATAAAATATATACTACTACTAGTATAAATACTAACTATTAAAAACATATACTACTAAAAACATATACTTCTACTAATAGATAAAACTACTAAATAGCAAGACAATGAATAATATACTAGACTATAAGCTCCATGAGGGCAGTGATGATGTCTTACCGAAACTTTCTTTTTCCCTAGTGCTTAGAACAGTTTTCCACATTCAGTAGGTGCTTAATAAATATTGAATGATTAAAGTGCCAACTGAATATTATTGCGTCAAAGTGTGTGTGACAGATAATAAGTGTTACAGCCAGTCAGGAAGAGGAGAGATCATTAGAGTTATCAGTGAAAGCTTCATGGAAGGATGGGACTTTAGTTTGGTTTGACACTGTTTGGCTAGATAGAAACAGGCAGGAGGTAATTCCAAGTTGTAGGGATAAAGGAAAGATGAGTAGCAATTAATGTTAAGTTTAGGGTTGGATAGGTTGGCCCAGTGTATGGTAGGATCATTCAAAAGGACTGTAAAGTAGGAAGAACCAGAGAACGGACAAAAAAAAAATGGGGCAAGAATCAATCTAGAGAAAGTGTTGACTTTGGAACCCACAGAAAGTAAGGAACTTAGGTCTTAAAGCCAACTGAGATGGAGTCTAGGGCTCATCCCTAGAG